ATTTTTTTCCCCTTCTGGGAAATGCAGAGCCACTTGTCAGGAAAATAGAATAACCATTCCAGTATCTTAACTTTAATACAAGATTCAGTGTTGACCTGGCTCTTTGGGGCAGTGTCTAGGATACTTGGGCATTTCAGATAGAGTTATTAATAATGAATTGAGGAAAACTTTCATTTACATAAAGGTGATAGAAGAGACTGTGGAGGCTGACGGACAGATACAGAAGACATTATGAAAGAAGAGATTAAGTAACTGACAGGCCCTGAAGTAAAGGCAGATGTTAACTAATATGTTTCTAACATGGGGCCTGGGAGAATTACTTCTTCCTTTACCTTAATTACTTCCATCAGCTGTTAACCATAAAGCAAAAGACAGTGGAGCATGCATCTCTTCTCAAGTTACTACTAGTACCCTCAATGTTGACCCCCAAGAATACTGAATATAATGACTCCACTTCCATCCTTCTGTTTACTTGTTTAAAAGTTAAGCTTGTTTAGTTATTATTAATTTATTCTGGAGCTGTCAGGTGTGATTTATCAGTAACTTGTTCATGGTGATCTTTAAAATATAATAATGTTATTGCAGCTATGCCATGTTCTCAGCATCAGAGAAATGATTTAGTTGCCACGGTCACACTTTTTTTTACAACTTATTAAATGTATGGGGGCACTGGATCCTTTCTATTTAGTTCTGTGTTATTCAATGTGATAACATATTAGCTAGAGATTGACTAACAATTAGCCTTGAAAGTTAATTTAGATATTTTACTTACTCAAAGTATCCTCAAACATATTTCTCCAACACAGCTACAATGAATGAAATGAATATCACTGCTGAAACATTTTGCAAGTTATTATTTCAAAAATGATTCTAAAATTTCATGATGCTCTGCATTGTTGTCAAAGGCAAGTGCTTCTTGGATGAGCCATATAATTTAGCAATGTGATTTTCTTTCCTGGTTTTTGCTTTTGAAAGCATGTTAACATTTTTTTTCTTATCAGTGGTATAATATTTTTCTTCTGTGAGAAAGTATTTTCTTGTAGGGCATCTTGAAAAACAGGTCAATGAAGGGCCCTCTAGGAGTCAACTAGTGGACCACAAGAATGCCATAGGTTCATGGTATCTGCCAGAGACATTTATTCAAATTATAATTTTCCCAAGAATTTCTGACAATTGTTCCAGATATATAGGATTATATGGGAAGAGTGTGATTAAATTGGTGCATATTTTACAGAAAGGAAGTTGGAGACAATGTAATATTATTTTTCACCTATCATACTGGCAGAACATTTAAAGACTGATAGAAGCCAGTTGCATTTTAATATGTCAGTAACAAACTACTCTATTTTCTGGACTATAAGACACACTCCCCCCCAAAAATCTGGGAGGAATAATGATTGTTAATGCTGTTCTTGAGTTCTGTTACATTTATGTTGGTGAAATTTATGTTGTTTATGTTATTAAATATTTTATGACACTTTCTGCTTCAAATTTTTCCCTATTTTACTCCTCTAAAAGCTTGGTGTATCTTATGGTCCAAAAAATATGGAAATTAAGAAAACAATCCCATATAGCTGGTGTGGTTCAGTGGATTGAGTGCCAGCCTGTGAACCAAAAAGTCACTGGTTAGATTACCAGTCAGGGAACATGCCTTGGTTACTGGCCAGATCCCTGGTAGGGGGACATGTAAGAGGCAATCACACCTTGATGTCCCTTTCTTCCTCCCTCCTTTCTACTCTCCCTAAAAAAAAAAACAAAAAAAAAACCTAAAATCTTTTTTTTTAAAAAACAGAAAACAATCCCATTCACAATTGCCTCAAAAATAATAAAATACCTAAGAATAAACCTAACTGAAGATGTAAAAGACCTGTACACAAAAAAAATTGTAAGACACTGAAGAAAGACATTGAAGATGATACAAATAAGTGTAAGCACACACTATGTTTATGGACTGGAAGAATTAACATCACTAAAATGTCCATACTACCCAAGCAATCTACACATTTAATGCAATTGTCATCAAGATTCCAATGATGTATTTCACAGAACTAGAACAAATATTTCAAAAATGTATATGGAACTACAAAAGGCCCCATATAGCAACAGCAATCCTGAGAAACAAGAACAAACTTGGAGAAATTATGCTACCTAACATCAAACTATACTATAAGGCCATAGTAATTAAAACAGCATGGTGCAAGCATAAAAACAGCCACATAGATCAATGGAACAAAATATAGAGCCCAGAAATAGACCCACACATTTATAGTCAAAATTGATATTCAACAGAGGAAGCATATACATACAACGGGCTAAAGGTAATTTACTCAATAGTATTGGGAAAATTGGACAGATATATGAAGAAAAATGAAACTAGACCACCTTCTTACACCAAACACAAGAATGGATTCAAAATGGATCAAAGACCTAATTGTTAGACCAAAAACCATAAAAATACTAGAAGAAAATATAGGCAGCAAAATCTCAGACATTGCTCATAGCAATTTTTTATTGGATATATCTCCCCAGGCAAGAAAAACAAAAGAAAAAATAAATAAATGGGACTATATCAACACTAAAAAGTTTTTTCACAGCAAGGAAATTATCAACAAAATAGAAAGATAACCCACAGAATGAGAGAACATATTTGCTGATATATCTGATAAGGAATTAATATCCAACATTTATAAAGTACTTACAAAACTCAACACCAAAGAAAACAAACATCCCAGTTAAAAAATGGGCAAAGAACCTGAATAGACACTTCTCCAAAGAAGACATACAGATGGCCTATAGACATATGAAAAGATGCTCAGCATCACTAATTATCAGGGAAATGCAAATAAAAAACACAATGAGATCTACCTCACATGTGTCAGAATGGCTATCAACAAATCAACAAACAAGTACTGGCAAGGATGTGGAGAAAGGGGAACCTATTTGCACTGTTGGTGGGAATGCAGACTGGTGTAGACACTGTGGAAAGCAGTATGAAGATACCTCAAAAAATTAAAAATGGATCTGCCTCTTGATTCAGTGATCCCACTTCTCAGAATATATCCAAATGAACCTAAATACTAACTCAAAGAACATAAGCACCTCTATTTTTATTGTATTGTTATTTACGATTGCAAAGATATGGAAGCAGCCCAAGTGTGCATCAATAGATAAGTGGATAAAACAACTATGGGAGATTTACACAATGGAATACTACTTTTCTTCTTAAGAAGAAAATTTTATCTTTTGCAACAGTATGGGTAGACCTGGAGAACATTATGCTAAGTAAAATAAGCCAGTCAGAGAAAGACAAATACCATATGATTTCACTCATATGTGGAATCTAATGAATAAACTGAACTAACAAGGAAAATGAGGACAGACTCATAGATGGAGAGCAATTTGACAGCTAGTTGTTGGTGGAGGTGAGCTAGGGGTGAACTGATTGAGCAAAAAAAGAGAAAAAAACTCATGGACATGGACAGCAGTGTGATGACTGCTGGGAGGAAGGAGGTAAAAGAAGACCAAAAGGTAATATAGAACTATAATAAAGATGAAATTGAAAAAAGAATCAAAGGAGAAAACATAGGTAGAGTTACAAAAAATTTTTTAAAAACCTAAGTATAAATTTAATCAAGAAGGTAAAAGACCTGTACTCACAAAATTACAAGACACTGAAGAAAGAAATTAAAGAATATGCAAATAAGTGGAAATATATAGCATGTACAAAGACAAGAAGAATCAAAGTCATTATAATGTCCATACTACCCAAAGCAAGCTATACATTCAATATAATTCCTATCAAAATACCAATGGCATAATTCAAAGAACTAGAACAAATATTCCAAAAACTTACATGGAAGCAAGAAAGACCCTTTATAGCCACAGCAATTTTGACAAGGAAGAAGAAAGTTGGAAGAATCATGCTGATGACAGACTATACTACAAGGTCATACTAATCAAAATATCATGGCACTGGCATAAAAACAAACCTATGGATCAATGGAACAGAAAAGAAGAGCCCTAAAATAAACCCATGCCTTTATGGTCAATTAATGTTTGACACAGGAGGCAAGAACATAAAATTGGGTAAAGACAATCTACTCAATAAATGGTGTTGGGACAATTGGACAGGTACATGCAAAAAAAATGAAGCTAAATCACCTTCTTATACCATACACATGAATAAACTTAAAATTGATTAAAGACTTAAATGTAAAGCTCAAAATCATAAAAATTGTAGAGGAAAACATAGGCAATAAAATCTCAGACATTTACTGTAGCAATATTTTTATATATCTCCTTAATTAAGCAAAGGAAACAAAAAGTAAATAAACTAATGGAACTACTTCAAACAAAAAAGTTTTTGTACAACAAAGTAAACTAACAACAAAAGGAAAAGACAACCCACTGAAAGGGAGAACATATTCACCAATAATACATGTGATAGGGGTTAATAGAAAAACAATCTAGTTCAAAATTGGGACAGAACCTAGACAGACATTTCTCCTAAGAGGACATACAGATGGCCAATAGACATATTAAAACATTCTCAATGTCACTAATCATCAGAAAAATACAAATTAAACCCACCATGAGATATAACCTCACACCTGTCAGAATGGCTATCATCAATAAGACAACAAACAAGTGTTTGTGAGGATGTGGAAAAAAGGGAATTCTAGTGTACTGTTGGTGGGAAAGCAGAATGATGCAGCCACTTGTTAAACAATATGGAGTTTCCTCAAATAATTAAAAATGGATTTGCTTTACAATCCAGTGATTCCATTTATGAGAATATATTCAAAGGGACTCCAAACACTAATTCTAAAGAATATATACACCCCTTTGTTAATTTCAGCATTACTTATAATAGCCAAGATTTGGAAGTAGCCCAAGTGCTCATCAGTTGACTAATGGATAAAAAAGCTGTAGTACATTTACACAATGGAATACTATTCTACTGGAGAAAAAGGAAAAGCTTACCTTTTGCAACAACATGGATGAACGTGGATGGCATTATGCTAAGTGAAATAATCCTGTCAAAGAAAGACAAGTGCCATAAGATGTGGAATCTTATGAACAAAATTAAGTAACAGATACAGTAGATGGCAACAAAGTAGGTTGGAGTGGAGCCCAGTTCGCCTCGTGCCCACCTAGCCAATCTTCTGAAGAACAGAATGAATAGCCAATGGAATCCCAGCTTATATGAAGTTTGGAGGCCAACATTGATAAACAGATGGTGAGGAGATCGTGTTAGGGTGCTAAGTTCCCTAGGATCTGTGTATGGACCTAGGCTGCTGTGGCCCCTGGCCCAGCACCTGCCGAAGGATACTTGGAGGAGAGTTAGATCACCAGCTCCCTCCCCTACCAGAGCAGGGAGGGTAGCCCTGTACCAGGAGGGACCGGAATGCTTGAAGTTTCTGGGGGGAATAGAGAAGTCGGAGACACACAGAGGTGGTGTTCACCTGCTGGGACTGTGGACACTGGCTAGGTTATTTCCAGAGAAATTTGGGAGTTTGGTGATACCTGAAGAACAAAGAAGAGTTGGGCTGTGTCAGACCCTGACCCGGATAGTCTCCAGTCTGGTTAGAAAGTTGGGCTGAGTGAAAAATGGGAGCTTATTAAGAACAGTGTGCTTAAACAAGAGGCTTTTACTGGGGGTGGGGGGGGGCGGGAAGTCTTGCTGCTGCTTAGTAAGAAACTCTCGCTGAGCAGTTGGCTTGCAGGGAGCTGAATAAAGCTGCTCACCCGTGCTTGACTTGGGTGGCTCACCAGGCAGCAGAGTCTTGCTGACTAGCAACACTCGCCCTGCAGCCGATTATGGCTGCTCACAGCATCACTAGCTCTGAGGCTTATTTGAGCCACACACCCACACTTGACTCCAGCCTAGCCTGGAAGCTCATTTGCACTGCTTGCCCAAGGGCTGAGTGGTGGTGCTGAACTGGTGGTGGGTGCTGGCCATGGTGGGCTCCCAAAAAGAAAGGAGGAGGTGCACCACATGGACCTGGCACTACTGGCGGATTAAAGGCACAGGCCTGGCACAGATGGACAGTGGGGGCCCAGCAGCTCACGGAGGTTCTGGGCTGGAGTCTGGGCAAATGTGAATATTGTGGCCCATAACTGGTCTCCATCCTCGCAAAATCACAGGGAGGAAGAAAGCGAAGCCCAGCCACCCTCTTCTTGTGACATCCAGGAAGACCAGCAGAATTCACTCAGTGGGTTTAAAGTTAGCAGGAGGCTTATTTTTTCTTTCCTCTCTCTTTTTTTCTTCCCCCCAAGTGAGAAAATAACATCTGGAGTTGTGAAAGGTACAGAGAAAGATCCAAAGAGGGAGCACAAGGCTAACCTGAAAAATAGAAACTGAGACAGATTTTACTTTGCTATCCCATAGACCTGGCATTTTATTGTTTACTTGTATTATTCTTATTTTTTCATTATTTTTACTTCTTTTATTTTATAGTATTTTTTTACTTCTCTTCATTCTGTTTAGTTTTCATCATTTTATTTCTCTGTTTAATTGCGTTGTTTGACTCATTTTCCTTGTTCTCTCTTTCATAGTACATTTTTTCTTTTCCTTCATTCATTTCACTTGTGTCCCAATAGCACACTAGTCTAGGTCATGTACTTCCTATTCTTGTTATTCAGATCATACACATTCTGTCATATGATTGTTGTTTCAGTACTATTGTAAATAATTGTTATTCCACACAATTGTACATACTACACAGCCCTCCTCCTGGATCGTAGACCATTTCACTTTGTTCCTGAGCTTTATTATTGTTGCAGTTAACTCTGTTCTCACACACATTACTCCTACTTTGTACCCTTTACTCTCACTATATTTCATCATCTAACCTTGCATAAGCACTCTGCTTTCTGGGTTCATCTCACAATCATCCTCCCCTCTAACAAGGGTTTTATGTCTCTTTTTCCTTTCATAAAAAGTGGCTAGTTGGGTGAAATATCACAGTTAACACTATACTTATCCAAAGGACCTCCTATCTCTTCTCTACTTGTTGGTACTTTAATTCCCATACAATACTCTCCTGAGGTCTGAATCCATTTTTCTTACCCCCTACCACTGATCACATACAAGATTAGGTGAAAGGCCACCGAAATAGCTCAGTTGGAAGAGCGTTAGACTGAAGATTAGGTGGGAGCTGTGAACTTCTGTGTACCCACTGGAGGAGAGAAACCACCGACAAAAAAAAAACCCACTAAAAGGTAAAAAGACAAGTACAACAAGAGAGCCCACACAAACAGAAAGGGCAAACCTAGAGCATACAGACAAGGAGATCAAAAAGATCATACCACTGAATCCCATAGAATTCTTACCATAAAAGTTCACCCTACAAAGACAGCTAGCAAAGAGAAATAATAGGAAGTGCAGAAACAAACAAAACGAGTAACTTAAAATGAAGAGACAAAAAAAAAAGAATGTGTAATCAAAAGGAATGGAAGACTCCCCAGTAAAAGAGCTAAATGAAATGAAAGTAAGCAAACTATCAGATATAGAATTCAAAATAATGCTTGTAAGGATGCTCAAACAACTCAAAAACAACTACAAGGAACTGAGCGAGAATTACAACAGTAAGAAAAATGAAATAGAAACTATAAATAAAAGCCAGGAAGAAATGAACAATAAAAATCTCAGAAATAAAAAAAAACACTAGAGGAAATTACAAACAGGCTGGATGAAGCAGAGGATTGAATTAGTGAACTGAAAGCCAAGGTGGAAAGAATCACTCAAGCAGAGTAACTGTGTGAAAAAAGACTAAAAAAATATGAAGATAGCTTAAGGGAACTCCAAAATAACATGAAATGCAACAACATTTGAATTATAGGAATAACAGAAGGAGAAGAAAAGGAACAAGGGATAGAAACTCTGAAAAAGTAATGACAGAAAAGTTTCCAAACCTGGAAAGAGAAAAAAAAACATGCAAGGTCAGGAAGCACAGAGAGTCTTAAAATAGAACCCAAAGAGGCCAACTCCAAAACATATCATAATTAAAGTGCCAAGTATTAAAGACAAAGAAAGAATCTTAAAAGCACCAAGAGAAAAAGAACAAGTAACATGCAAAGGTGCTCTGATAAGTCTAGCAGCTGATTTCTCAATGTAAACTGTCCAATCCAGGAGAGAATGGCAAGAGATATTCCAAGTAATGAAAACCAAAGGCCTGCAATCAAGATTACTCGACCCAGTAAGGCTCTTAATTAAAATGAAAGGTGAAATAAGGAGCTTCTGAGATGAAAGAAGGTGAAAAAATACATCTCCACCAAACCAACACAACAAGATTTTCTAATGAGACAACTAGAAGAACAGAAAGGAAAAAGTGAAAGAGAGAGGAGCACAAGTACAAAGGGAGAAAAATAAATACCTGTCGATAAAAACATTAAATATTAATGGATTAAGTGCTCCAATCAAAAGACATAGAGTAGCTGAATGGATAGGAAAACATGACCCATACATATGCTGCCTACAAGAGACCCACCTCAGAACAAAAGACCAACACAGACTGAAAGGGAAGGGCTGGGAAAAATATTCCAAGCAATTGAACAGGAAAGAGAAGCTCAAATAGCAATACTCATATAAGACAAAGCAGACTTCAAAACACGAACCATAAAAAGAGATGCAGAAGGACACTTCATAATACTCATAGGAAGATTTCATCAAGAAGACATAAACATTGTAAATATATGTGCACCCAACATAGAAGCACCCAAATATATCAGGAAAATCTTGGAGGACTTCAACAAAGATACAGAAAACAGTACTATTACAGTAGGGCATTTTAACACTGTACTGTCAAAACTGGATAGATCTTCCAAACAAAATATCAACAAAGATAGTGTGGTATTGAACAAAGCCCTGGTCAAATTGACTTAACTGATACATATAGAGCTCTTCATCCCAAAGAAGCAAAATACACATTCTTTTCAAATGCACATGGAACATTTTCGTAGACCACATGATAGGACAGAGAACCAGACTCAACAAATTCAAGAAAATTAAAATCATATCAAGCATTTTCTCTGACCATAAGGGCTTGAAACTAGAAACCAACCCCAAGGAAAAATCTCAAAAACACTCAAACTCGTGGAGATTGAATAGTATGCTATTAAACAATGAATGGGTCAAGAATGAGATCAGGAAAAAAATTTTAAATTTCTGGAAACAAATGAAAATGAAGTCACAATGGTCCAAAACATATGGGACACAGCGAAGGCAGTCCTGAGAGGGAAGATCATAGCAATACAGGTCTATCTAAAAAAAAAATAAGAATATTTTACATAAATAAACCTAACCCTCCAACTACAAGAACTGAAGGAAAAACAACAAAAAAAGCCCAGAGAAAGTAGAAGGAAGGAAATAACCAAGATCAAAGCATAATTATAAGACATGGAAACTAAAAGAACAATTCTAACAACCAGTAAATACAAGAGCTGGTTCTTTGAAAAGATACACAAAATCGACAAGTCGTTAAGCAGGCTCATCAAGAAAAAAAAGAGAGGACCCAAATAAACACAATCAGAAATGACAGAGGAGAGACTACAACTGATACCACAAAAGTACAAAAGATTGTAAGAAATTACTACAAGGAACTATATGCCAAGAGATTTGAAAACCTAGGTGAAATGCCCAAATTTCTAGAAAAATATAATCTTTCAGAAATGAATAAAGAAGAAGCAGAAAGCCTGAACATACCAATAAGAACTGATGAAAATGAAGCAGTAATTGAAAGACTTTCAGTACTCAAAAGCCCTGGCCCAGATGTTTTCACAGGAGAATTTTACAGAACATTTAGGGAAGAGCTATTCTCTATTCTTCATGGACTAGTCCCATGAAGGATAGATACATTAAAAAGATCATATATTATGATCAAGTGGGATTCATCCCAGGATGTAAGGATGATACAATATTCATGAATAAATAAGTGTAATACATTACATAAACAAAAGGAAAGGTAAAAATCATATGATGAAATCAATAGATGCAGAAAAAGCATTTGATAAGGTACAACACTCATTTGAGATT